AACAATCATGATGTTGATTACCAATATTTCTTTGAATTTTACAATTCGTACGTCTTGGGCTTGGCGCGGTTTGAAGACCATACATTTGCTTTTTTATGGGAAAGTGTTAGATGTACAGTTTGCTCGTCTCCAAATGTAACATATTTGAAAGATTGTCGGGATATTTGGGGGGTTTGAATTGATATTGCCAACAAAATCAAATTTAATAAACAAGTTAGTACATCAGTTAAACTGATGTAGGTTTGGTGTAATATAATACTTGATATTCAAGAAAGAGAAAAGCGACCACACAAGAAATATCAACTCGGAATGAGGGATTGTGGACGTTCTAAGATTGCATGATCACGTGATTACCATACGATAGGTCTACTCTCTAATTGGTTTCCATGAGTAGAGTAATATGAGAACTCTGAGGTCAGACCAGGGGAGGGAGATCAGTAGACAAATTTCCGGTCATTGATTTCCAATCTTCCTCAACTCTTGGACCGATTTTTTTTTTCTAAAGGCTTTGTCCGCAAAAGAACACAATTTCTGTGAGAAAATCTCTTTTTTGTACTCAACAAAACCAGTAAGAGTAACGGATGAATGATAGCTGCATGACAGGAGCCGATTGCTAAGTAATCGGCTCCTGTGCATGATCATCGGTACGGTTATGTTTCCATAAGCTTTAACCCTACCCTTAAACTCACCCTCACCCTCCAACCTCACCCCCATCCTCACCCCCACCCTCACCTCTACCTTTGGTGTTACCCTTACCCTTGTTTTAGCAACGCCGCTATCAATGAGCAGATGTTTAACCAAAATAAAATAAATCATCTTCAGAATTGCGTACCTCCACGTCTCCCTTGGGTAAATGTCTCTTCCACGGAGATGTCGATGGTTGATTTGGTTCTGTGCAAAGAGAACTGAAAGTCACACGAAGTAACACTCGAATGTGATCAAAATGCTTAACAGTCGATTTTTTTTATCCCCTCAGGGTAAGAAGCTCGATGTTGCACACATAGCCTCAATTCATCTTTGTCATCTGCCATGGTGTGTTTGGGGCAATATTGGTTTGGTGGGTGGCCGCGCGGGGGCTTGGCATGAGACACGTGGTGGTGTGAGCAGCTGGACGACAACTGGACATGATTTCCGGTGGGTCTGGGATAAAGCAGGTGGTCGGCTCTTCCGGTGAAAAGAACTCGTCATTTGAATTTTTTCTGTCTTGTGGGGATGAAGATCTGCGAAGGAGTGTGCATTAGGCAAAATGGGGGAAAAGACTGTTTTTTTTTTTTTTTTTTAAATTGAAAAACCTTTTTTAAAAGTCGAGGGAGGAATGTGGTGTCAGGGGAGGCGCCGGGGATTTTTTCTGGGTGGGGCATAACTGGGAATATGTGTAATATTGGCGCGATAGCGCCAATGACGAGTGCCGAAGGCAGGAGAAACTAGGGGGTTCCGGTGGCATGCTCGCCCGGGAAGTTTGGAGAATTTGAGTACTCTAAGATGCAATCTAGTGCCGTGATCTGAACACTAAATTTGGCAAATACCAGGATTTCATTGTGGTCAACAAAGTAAGAAAAACCAAGAGCCATAATGGAAAAACTTAATGACCATTTGCAACTTATCAAAAACAGTTATCAAACTTGAATCCTTTCGAAGAAAATTATCACCAGTCAGTTTGTTTTAGCGTTCAATTAATGGTTTGAGAAAGTTTTAATTGACATCGAATTTTCCAAAGCAACTTTGCCTGTTATTTGATGGTGAAACAAACTGATTTCCAATATCTCTATGTCCAATTTGTCAGTCGTTTCCGTGTGAACGTGGGGAATCATGCTGTGATTCCATCTTTCTTGTGGCGTAGTCAGTGTTCGAAGACACGTCTTATGCCTTCTAAGAGCAGAGCCCGATCGCTCACTCACAGCATTCGTGGCAGGTACAACAAGAAGTAACTTATTCACAATGTTAAAAACCTCTGAGAAATAATCAACAGCTGCACTGAGGAGGTTTCTCAGATATGCCACCACATCGTTCAATCCAAGGTCTCCGATCTGCCTCAGCACGAATCTGCACTTTGAGAGTTTGCAGCTGTGGAAGCAGTGAATTGCGCTCCAAGTCGTCTCCATAAAAATTACAGACAGAATCAAGCTAGATTCTTGGAAAAATCATTGATATCAACTGCATCCACCAAAAGTAACTCTAAACGGGAATACAGTTTGTATCCAGGTTGATTGAATCTGCATGTCGAGTATGAAATTAATCATGCAGTCTAGCGCTTCAACTTAAAATAGATCTGAAGTAGTCGTCGGCAGTTTCTGGATGGTCTCCTGGGCTTTTGCCATCATCAAGACGAGCTGGGTTGAAAGTTGGTGGGGCAAATGCCCCTCTTTCCCCACCAGTCAAGCGCCGCCCTTGTACTCAGAAGTGAGCCATAATATTGCCTAGAATTTTCTATTACTTGAGGGCGACTAAAATTTCTAGATGACCGTTCCATTCATGCATGTTCAATTTCAAAAACTTATCTAATAAATTTTCTACGATTTTCTGAAGCTTAATTTTTCACTCCCCAAGTAATGCTGTTTTTCGTAAAAAAAAAAAAAAGAAAAAAAACTGAGAAACCTAAAATTTTCGGATTCAAAAAGGTGCTTAGAATCGGAAAATTTTCGGGAAAATAATATTGAAGCCCTTGTAATTTCGAAAAGACTCAAAGTCCTCTAGGATGACCGAACAGATACCCATTTTATAGCGCCGCTTACAATGCATTTTTAAAGATCTAATACTATTCTGGATAGCATAGAAAGTCTTTTGAACGTATTTAGGAGGAAATCGTCGTTGGGTGCCCCTGAATAATGCTGATATGTAGGCAGGTGTGGCTGCTTGAAAGGACTTACGAACTAAGATCAACATATCGAGAAATCTTCCAAAAAGCACCTCATGGTAGAGTCCAGGAATGACGGAGCCGAAAACGCCTGGGGATGCTGACTTTGTCACCAAGAATCCATCCTTATACCGTAGGCGCTTACACCAGGCATTAATACTTCTTTTTAAATGCTTAAATGGTACGGGACCAGTACTTATATTGGAAGCCTTTTTAAATACAGGCATACACCGTATAGGCTAAGAAGCGAGGGCTTGAATTTGGAATTACCTAACTTTAATCTTAAATTTAAGAAGAATTCTTTCACTTATTCATTAACTAAGTTATGGCACAGTTTGCCTTCTCAAGTGCGTCTTTCAAGTCATGCTAATGACTTCAGAAGTAAATTGCACGATGCAGCTTTTAGAACATGTCTTATAGTGCACAATTGTAGCTTTTAACTGTTTTTAGAACGAGTATTATAGTTTTCCTAGTCACGTTTTTAGTATATGGCTTTTTGATGGGTTTTAGCTTTTTATATTTTATGTTTTTATTACCAAGTTTTTTATATGTATATATTTATTGAGTTGTTTTTTAAATTGCATAATATTATATAGCTGTAATTATTATAGATTTTATTTATACACGTTCGTATTTTGAACGAGATTTTTAGCTCTTTGACGTAACGTGTTAAAATAAATGATTGATTGATTGATTGATTGAGAATTATTCGTAAAACATGTTTATATAAAGGAGTTCTAGTTTTTGGGAATTCCTAGCGCCACAGAAATGCCAGATCGCGTTACAGTGCTGAAAGTTTGTCATAATAAAAGCCTTGTAGAGCCGTGCTTTAGTTAAGTCACTTAAAATATGTCTAAATCTTTTAATAATTTGAATTTGATTATGTACCCTTTCGCGGACATTAGAAATATGCTTGGAAAAACTGAGTTTATCATCCAAATTGACACCCAGTAAGTCAATATTCTTTTCCTTACCAATTTCCACATTCCCAATCTTAAAATCAAAATCGTAGGTCTTCTTACCGAAAATCAAAGATTGAAATTTTCGGGGTGTGCCTTAAGACCATTATAGAACTATGGTAACTAATTCATTTTCCATTCTGAGGTGAAGTGCCGTAGGATCCTTGTCAGAATCCCTGATAAATTTTCTGATCATCAGCATGGATAATCTGGCATACCTCATAAAATAAAAGATATCATTTATAAAAATATTAAATAAAAGTTGACTCAAAACACTCTCTTGGGGAACCCCTATTGTACGACCCACCCAAGGTGAAAAAGTTTCACCAATTTTAACTTGTTGTTGCCTTCCATGCAGGAAATTGCTGAGCACTCCATAAAGTCACTAATATCGCTTAAAGAATGAAATATTACATATACTCTTTATTAGAATTTCGGTAGAAATGACTTTCAGGTGACTTGACCGGTTACCTTTAAAAGAACAGAAAATAGTATAACATAGCCCTTTTCAATACTTCGAGCATAAATCTCATTCATTCTAAAAGGGTCAATAAAGGTATGCCTCGGAAAAAGTATGTCTGAATTTTATTCCACATGGACGCTTATGCCAAATGTTACAAAACTTGCTGTCATTGCAGGTAACTTTTGGTACATAGCCTGTGTAGCTATTTTACATTTTTTGTGGTTCGTTATTAAAGTCAGAGATAAAGCCGCGCGAAAACTGAACCGAGCTCATACTAGGAAACAACAGGGGAGGGGGCGAGGGGAGAAGGCAGTATCCCTACCCCTCCCCTCTATGTCACTCTTCACTTCTATACTCTCAATAGGCAATTTCCAAGTTCAAAAAAACTCTCACCTTCATTTGGGTGTAAGTGCATAAGACTTTCTCGTGAAAATGAGTTTTATTTGCATGAGAAGAAAAAAAATCATTTTTCTATTGACGGCTTTGCACTCAACCTCCCTTTGAAACAGAGACACGTCATACTATCTAAGCAGTGCCGGATCCAGACATTGAGATACGGCAGGGGGGCGGTCATCCATACTCTTAGAAAAGGGGGGAGATGGGCGGTCTCCAAAAAAATTTTTTTCAGCCCTTCGGGCCTCATTTTCGTCCAAAAAATACGGGGGAGGGGGCCCTCCCCTGGATCCACCACTGCTAAGCTACACTACTCAAGACTCAAACTCTTGTGACGGTTCAAGTTTTGGCTTTATTCACTGTTTTTCATCACCGGAAGTCGAATCTGTTCAAATGTGTGTCCAGTGACGAACTACACTGTAGATGCCTTTTGTACAAAAATTAATGATAACCGAACATGTATAGTTATTTGGACAAGTTTCCTGGATGATTTATCTTTAGCATGTACATTGGTTTTTATGCAAATCACAAATACCTCAAGGGATATTTAACAAGGATGTCATTAAGGGCTGGGGATTTCCCCCAGTTACTATGATGCGACCCTGGGCTACTTTCCTAAGAAAATACAAGAAAAATAGAACCAAAAGAGATCCCTAGCTAAAGTGAACACTCTCCTCAAAGACACTTGCACAAGCAGACAGCTCTACTTATGGCCGCCTTCACAAAACCTCATTTTTCTCAACTCCCATACAAACACTGTATTTTTTACATTATTTCCCCTACGAGGACAGCTCCAGTTACAAGAACCCTTTAAGTGTCCCAATGTTGTCAGCTTATGTGAGCTTCCACTTTATTTGATTTCCCCTACTTGAAATCTTAGTGACATTCCCAAATCTTATCACACTCTCGATTACCTTTTAGAAAAGTCATGCAAGAGTCTTGAAACTCAGTCATAGATGTACTTGGGGCTGTGTTATAGAATGCCTAGGGCCTCTAAGGAGTTACTTTTTGCTTAAATAATGCTAGATGTATACCATGCATTTGAACTTTAAACAACTTTAATCAGAACACAGCCTTGTAACTAAGAAACAGCTAACAATGACTCATTGCATTGTTTTTATCTTTTTTAGTTGTCAAGATAAACATTTCTTGCATTGTTTTTATCTTGTTTGTCATTGTTCAAGATAAAATAAAAGTTAGACAAAAATGGGGGTAGGCCTGACAACTACACTTGGCTGATAAACTTTAGCTCACCTTGTAACAGCTATTAGCTGTATGTATCTCACCATCTCTCTTTACACTACTTATCTTTAATCAAGGGGGTAGGCACATAACAGCCTCTATGGGGAGGCCCCACCCAAAGTGGGTACCTTTAAAGGATTCAGGTATATGAAAGGGTTAGGAAATTTGTCACTTTAGTTTAATAAAGCCTTTAACAGAAGCCTGTCTTGAATTAAAATTTTTCAAACAGATGCACTTCACTCACACTACATAAAAATGACAAGCTGTAGATCTCTACAGGTATGTGTGAGCTGTACCAATAAATTTTTTTTCAATGGGGGTATTTGTGTTCTGTCAAAAACGGTATAATTTTATAAAAGAGTAAGGGATTAGACGTTGGGGCAGAGCCTTCCCATGTAAAAAATGTTGCTGAGTAGCACCCACTGGTTATAGAATCCTAAAGTCATGGAGCTTCCTTGATTAAGACATTCCTCCAAGTTCACTAATCAAGATAATCATCAAAAGACCCCTTTCGGCCTTTCCCTTCTAAAAACTCTTTAGCGCCTTTAATAGAATCTTTAATTGTCTGGACTTTAACACCCTTAGAGTGCTCATATGACAGTGCATCGTAAAACGACTCTGCATTGAACACAGAGTAATAAACAGACTTGCGCTCAGTAATCAGCGATTCTTGTGGGAAACGTGCGATGAGTTTCGCAAGTTTAATGGCCTCATCTAGAGCTTTTCCATTAGGGACTACTCGGTTGACCAGACCCATACTGTAGGCTTCTTGAGCACTCACAGGCCGCCCAGTCATGATGAGGTCCAAAGCACGTGACAGGCCGACAATGTATGGTAACCTGGCAGTTCCTCCATCCAGGAGTGGGACACCTGAAGTTGTATAAGACTAATTTTATTGTTTGTAGAACTTGGGGTCCTTTTGGAAAATTTAGTTCTCCCCATGCATTATTAACCCATTCGCCCCTGAACCGCCCGTAACCGCCCGTGCGGATCCAGGTCCTTTCTACCCATTGTGACGTCATCAGTTTTAACAGTCAAGGACAACTTTCTTCGCTAACTTGTGCAGAGTGAAGAGATCTTTCAAACCATACCAGAATGAGCACAATTCAGTCAAGGATACCGGAGAAACAAGCCAAAAACCACGTGACATTGACCTGAAAATCTCCATGAAAATCTTGTTCCATTATCCACCTACCTTTCCTTTCACCTAATCCTAAGATCCTAAAAGCTTTCTTAAAAACTCTTCCCACCAAAATGAAGCCTACTAAATGCCCAGCAAAAGAAAAAAAAATGAGGCAAGAAAAGCGCAAAAAGAGGGGAGGAGAGAAAGCGAAATTTTGCTTTCTGCGCATGCCCGAACTTCTCAAGCTGATATTTTGCATCTGGATAAGAAGGCCGCGAAATGTTCGACCTGTAAACCAGTTTGTGGTAAGTTTTAGCTCTTTATAGCACGACAGTGACCAGAAAACCACTCGACTAGCTTCAAAACGCGTTTTTTGGCAAAATCTCCAGGAGCGAATGGGTTAAGTAGTAAAGCTGTAGATAATTGTTTCGGTGATTAATAATAGGGAACACTACAGTAATAAAATATATGAGGGAATAGTACTTCAAAAAACTTTAGTGAGGTTAACTTTGATACCCTTTCTACATGTATGATCCTTTCCTAAAATCCATTAATTAAAAAGTTGATACTTTTGCTTTAAGAATTCCTAGAACTTAATTTCTGTTGTTCTTTGTAGTAAAAGGCAAATTTAGTCCCAAAACATTTAGTTTAAAACTGTTTAATTTTTTGTTACAGGTAGCCCAATTTATAAAAACACTGCCTTTTTGCACAATTCCTTATGGCACAATATTCCTGCCAAATTATGAATTAAGACTCATAGAATTTGTCTCCTGCATTTTTACGAAATTAAGTGCCTGCAAAAATAAGTAGCAATGAGGTATAAATTTACTGCCATTCAAGGTGATAAAGGATAATGATCATAACAGTGATTTATTTTCTAACAATAAGAAACTTTTCTTTTTTAGCAACATTTTATATAAAAAGAATATTACCAAATCTCCTGTTAAATATTCCCATGACAGTATTTTCTGCTGCCACTCTGAGATCACAAATCAAAGCCAGCTCCATTCCACCAGCGACTGCATGCCCCTCTATTGCCCCAATAACTGGCTTGCTCAGTTTCAGTCGGGAAGGGCCCTTAAAACATGGAGAGAGAGAGAGAGATTATTAAACATGGAGGGACCATGGATGGAGGAGGGGGAAGTGGGTTTGCTTAATGAGTAAAGAGGAAGCAAGGAAATGTAGGTTGCATCTGTTGAACAGAGATCTATTTTTTTCCAGAATTTCTGAAGTCTTGATGACTGTCAGGAATTCTAAAGGGTTCGACGAAAAAATGGAAAATCCGAATGGGAGGGGGGTTTAATGATTATGGAATTCGGAAGGCATAGCGGGATAACCCATTTTGGAAATGCTGAGGGCAAGGCGGGAAGGGGAGGGGTTTAAATAGGGAATAAAGATTAAAATCCCTGTGCAGCGTAGTTACTTAAGTAATGTTAATTTAAAAATTGGAAAATCGATCCTTTTGAACAGCGTTGATTTTGCAATTTTTAAATTAACGCTAAAATATAGAAGCCGTCCATGGTATGGTGAGGATATTTTCTGGAATTGCCCATTTGAACGTTACGTTTCCTAGAGCTCTGCAAACTTAGCAAAATTTCTTAATGTTGGGTAATTCCACTGATCTGGAAAATTTTCCACTGGAATTACCCAACACACCATGTTCTGTTTACTTTCCAAACTGGAATCTCTAGATTTATTTCTCAGGTAACTGACCACCAGTTTGGATTTTCCTGCATTTCATAACAATAAGAATTAATCAACTTCCCGCTGAGAATGTAGTAAGCATCTGTTCACCAACCAATACCACATGCACGCTCTCATGAACATGATGAATCGTTGATCAAAATACCTGTACAGCATGCATGCTTCTCTTTTGACCGGAAATAAGCCAATAAAAGTCACATCCTGCTCACGAAAAAAGCGATTCACGACACGCGCGCGTGTCGTGCACGTGCGTTGGGTTATCAAAACACAACTGTACATGGGACTTGACGTGCAAAAAAGCACGATGGCTCATCAACGGGCAAACATATGCAGTTGCAACGATAAACAGAGTCATGGGCGAAAGAAAAAGCAGTAAAAAAGGTACAAAAACTTTAATCCCATAACTCTTCTGGAAGTCAAACGTTAATGCTCTGCAAGCTTCTTTTCGATTCTCTGAAAAAGCTTGAACTTTTCGCGAAACTTTACTTACCATGGGTGCATCACCTTCTCCGACCGGAGGCACTGATTTTAAGAATTTTTCCGGATCCCTCTCTGACAATTCTTGAAGGTCATAACCAGCGCAAAATGAGCCACCTTTACCGAAGAAGACGGCCACTGAACATTCATCGTGATTCTCAAAAGCGCGAAACGCTTCTGAAAGTTGTTTAGCAGTCTCTGCATTCACCGCATTTCGCTTCTCGGGACGAGCTATCGAAACAAAAAAGATCTTGCCATCTTCTTCAGTCTCGACAAGAGTGTTTTCGAATCTCCTTGCGGAGGCCAAAGCAAGTGGAATCTTCAAAGCTCGGAGCCTGGCCTGCCGAGATAACAATGAGAGCGCCATTTTCCGATCGAAACACAACACCTCTCTCTCTCCACACACCTACTTCAAGTGTGGCCCCTTTTTGGTAGTGGTAACCTGGGACGAGCTGAGTTTCTAGAGCAACTGTTGGCCAATCACAGCGTTCGAATTTGAGTCTTCGAGAAAACATGGCGGAGTGTACATTGCAGCGCGCCAATTTACTTTAAACACAAAATCTACGCTCATAAACGAGTTTACTGCCTCTTTAGTGAATGTGGTTATGATGGCGAAATGACAAGCGCTAAAGACGAAAAATCTGAGAGTTCGTCTTCAGACGAGGACGAGGAATCTTTGAGAGAACTGGTAGGTTGTAGTTATCAGCATTTGTATAGTAACTTCCAAGTTTTAGCAGTTTCACAGTGATCGATTGTGGTTTGATTTCTGTTCGCTTTTGTTCTCAACTTTTTCAGGTTTTTTCTTATTTGGGGCTTTCTTTTCATAAAAAGTGCTTTGTTTTCGGTTGTTGAAAGATCAGTCGATAATAACTGCGGGGAACTGATTGAATTCATTACATTGAAAATTAATTTTTAAGAAGTTTAAGATTACTTTGGTCAACATCGAGTTTACGTGATCATTAATTAATGAAAGCCCATTTTATTTTAGAGTTTTCGTTTTGATGCGTTTTTCCATTGCACTGTTTTGAATGGATTTATGTATTGAAGTTTTCAGCGTAAAAACTGTCAGAGGAGTGTGCCGGGGGTTGCAGCCTAGCAAGGGCTGCGCTGCAAATGGGGTTTGATTAAGATTCCTGGAGATGGTTTCATTTGATCTTTACCAAGGATATCCTGGTTTCTAGCTTCAGAAAAAGTTTTCAAGTATTCGTCTTCTCCTAATCCACATTCAGTGTCATAATGCAAAGAGCAGTGAAAGGAGAAGACCATAATATCCTTGATTTCCGTTGTACCTACATGTACATGTACGCTTATGCAAAGCAATAGTTCTCTGATCAAGCTCTAGACCTAGCCTTGCCACAGCTCCATCTTTTAAAGCCTTTGAAGGTGAGAGTATGCAAGGCACCTAGTTGCACCCAGGCTCGATTTCTGCCGTCTCCTGAGTACAGTCTTTGGTCACTCTCAATAAGGGGGATGGTTGCGGGCTTATTTGTCCAGAACAACGGCTGGTAATTGAGCCTAGCTGCACCAGAAGATCCAAGTTGAGAGGCACTCGTGCAGAAAATACATTATGCCCTTTTTGGGGAGGCACATTATACAACAACCCTAAAAACAGCTGGATAGAGATGCCAGACTGACTGCAATAACCACTGTCATAATTTCTTTATCTTATCTTTACTTTGTGAGTTTTTCTTTTATGTTTGCATTTGTCTTTTGTTTTTGTGTTGCTATCTGTGTTTTTTTTTTTAATTTTAATATTTTGCCTTGACCTAACCATCATGACCCAGGTAATGAATAAATCTTACCAGTTTGATATATTCTGAATCTATAACAGACTGTTTTTCATTTAGGGATTAAGAAGATATTTTGCTGGCAAATATACAGTTTATTATAATATTTTTTTTTTATTTCCACTCTTCTGACACTTTAGGAATTTCAAGGTTTTAAGTAGACAAACTATACTATAAGTATTTTTCTTTTCTCTTTTTGTTTCTCTTTATTATTTTTTTACGTTTGTATTTTGCTTTGTTTTGTTCTTTTTTATGTTGTGAAGAGACAAGCAGTTCAGTCTGTCAATAAAGCCAGATTAAAAAGGAAACACACGAAAAGCTCCCTTGAAGAACTGGTACATGATTAAGTTTTCATTGTGATATATCACCACATAAATGCTTACGAATAAATACACACAAAGGCAATAGTTCTTAGACACATTGTAGAAGTGAATCTACTGTACTACAGTTGCACTTTTTTATTTTATTTCACATTCATTTTACATAACTTTGATAAAAGATGTGAGACGAGAAATAGTGGTTTGGCTTTCACAACAGATCAGGGACCATTATAATCAAAAGTTATGACAGCATTTACATGGCAGCATTAGCCTCAATCAGTGGCTCCTTGCAGCCTACAGTTCAGACATTTTTGGGGGTAGGGGTGGGGATGAGAACTGTCTAGAATTTGCTTGGGTTGCGGTGAAAAAGTCAAAGGGGAGTAGCAACCTGCACAATGAGCATTATTAGGGATTTTCGGGTAGGGAAGACAGGCAAGAAAACAACTGGCTACAAGGGCTGTAAAAACGACAAAAACTACCTCGATAATAATGCCAGAGAGTTAAACCCTTTTGACTGGATTTGCTCTGAACAATGAATGTTCCAGCACTTACCAGTTTTTTAAGCCTCTTGCCAGTCAGTATATTGACTTTTAAAAAAGTCCTTCTCGTGACTTTGTCACTCGCTCAGCTGCTTTGTTGCCTCAACAGCTCGCTCCACTCACTTAGAAACTCGTGAGATTGACTTGTGGCAAGTCTAGCCAGTGACTATGACTCAGACAAGAATCCTATCTCGCAAATGAGTGAAAAATCTGCTCTATTAAAATTAGATGGGAGTTTGGCTGTGTCCAGATCCTGGGTGGTAAAAAAACATCCTTTTGAAAGATATTCAAGCTGTCTTGGCTTTAGATACGGGAGTACCCTTATGGAACCCAAACATGCTTTCAGTTGGGACGTAAATTAAGACTCACTGGATATGGTGATAGAACAGTGTTCACATGGTCTTGAAAAGTCCTTGAATTTTAGGTGGAGTCCTTGAAAAGTCATAGAATTCCATTTTTTCTGGAAAAGTCTTTAAATTTCTGTGCAAGTCTTTGAAATATCCTTGAATTTTCCTCAATTATTTGAATTTAGGGGCCTGGAAAGTGATTTTTAATGATAGAATATAACTCATACCTCAGAGACGTTAAAGGTGATTTAGAGCTGTACTTATAGGGTTTTATGCAAGAATTAACTCTCAATTTAATCAAGTGAATTGAAAAATGTAGAGACGTTGGAGGAGCAAACAGTTCAAGCCTTTATTTAAAAGTCTATTAGAATGGAATGTTAATGTGCATTTTTGCACAATCTGTGATCAAATTACATTCCTGGTGGGTGGTCCTTGAAAAGTCCTTAAAAAATAATTGCAATTTTCTGTATGAACCCTGTAGAAACTAGATCCACTTTCAGAGTATGGCTAATGATGTAAGCTTTGTGCTGTTATGTAAATTCAAGGCTTTAATTGCTCTAGCACTGCCCAATTGCCCCTGGTGCCTAAGTCTCATTGGAGACTAGAAAATCTTAGTTTTTTACATAGAAATCATATGTGGGGCACCCTAGATTTCATAAGTTTAGGGTTCTGCTGGCCCCCATGTCAATTTTTCTTAGAGCACAGTCTTGTGTAGGTTAGAAATCCTCTACTTACCCAGCGGCCAGTTATTGCCTAGCAGCTCATTTCTTTTGTCTATAGTGCACTGTAAATGGAGTCAAGTTTGAAAAGTTACAGAAAGGATCAGGAAAAAATGTCAAATCCTTGGAGATGTTCTTCTCAGGCTTTCCAAAGATAATTGGCATGGAGAACTTTCCAAGCCTACAGAGCCTCACTCTAATGGGTCAGCAGATTACCATGCTGGAGAATCTGGAGTGTTTACCAAACTTGACAGAGTTATGTGTGTCTGAAAGCAAGCTGTCTGTAAGTCAATTTCTGTATGACACTGTACACTGTATCCCCCCCCCCCCACCTCTTCATGGGATGAGTTTTCAGTATTCTGGTCATGGGCAGCTGAGATTCTATAATCCTTGCATTGTGTTCCAGGCTCCGTAGCTGCACTATTGAAGGCCTGAGATCTAAAAAAAAAGCTTCAAATATGTTATATCAACGTGTATTTGATAAGAATTCTCCTGAATTTCGTGGTATTTTGAATGTTATTGTGAATTTTGCAGGATTTCCTGGATTTACTTGAATTTCGCGGCTCCACGACCACGCAAAATATCAGGATCCCTGAAAACCCCTAACAAAGATGTATAAGCTCAGCAGTTTACCGTATTCTCAAGTACAATACCCTTGACCATGCAGTTTTCAGTTGGGGATCATGCCCCAACTCCCTGCTCTTGTCAAGTCCTAAAGTCTCTGATTTCTTTACCTGTCATAGTCTGGCTTCTTGCTTAAAGACCCTTTACCTTTCACAGTTGCACATCGTACTCTACCCTGATAAGATGGAGGTTGTACCTAATTAATTAATTTGATCATATACTCTATTTTAAAAATTAATTTATTTTATTAGAATGTAACGCAATCATTACTACATGTATAGTAAATTAAACAAACATCAAAAGTTCAGAATAAAGCATAAAAGTACAGTGAGTGAGTAGTATTAGTTTTATGTATTTTGTACATTTTTAATAATATGGCCATTTTGAGGATATTTTATTTTTGGAGTTGTAATGTACTTTAAGTAGCCATTGCCCTTGACGTGGAAAAGTGGCCATTATAGGGAGGTTAAAACAGGTATGAGAGTAAATGATAATAAATTATAGACTGTCAGTAGAGACTGAGATATGAGTGGTGGCACTGTGGAAAGGTGGGCATTTGAAGAGGTTGCATGTAACTGTAGCTGACTCATCTCCAATCATCTCTTTTTGGATCGCGCACATGACTGCAGGAAATGCAAGGGGTGATTAGAAGGAGGAAAACAAAATGGAGAGAGAGGGAGAGTTTTCCTTCTTTCCTCCTTCACATCACCTGATGACTCCCCTTGACCACGCTTGTCTTGTTAAGATATTAATAGACAGCTTTAGGTTAGAGGACAACTATGAGTAGGGGATTTTCTCAATACTACATTGTAAGTAGACATTGGCAGGATAAAAACATGATAGCCGTCATCATTCTACAATGGGTTTTAGCAAGAACATGTGGTGGTAGCGTGAGCAAGTTATTAAATGTGAGATGTTTTATCATAACAAAAGATATGGTGACGTGTATTTTGTTTTTCTCAACAGAAAATTTCCGGTCTCAGTGAGTGTAAACAGTTAAGAAAACTGCTGTTGTATGACAATAGGATTGCAAAAATAGAGAATATTTCACATCTGGATCAGCTGACTGTCTTGTGGCTCAATAATAACAGAATCAGTGATATAGAGGTAATAACCAGTAACCATTAATAAAATGTAACTTCCAGATTATTTACACCGGTTAGCTTAAGCTTGTCAAGTGAGGGTATGTCGACAAATGTGCATGTTGTTAGTCCAACCTACTCTAGCTCATCCAGACTAGCTCAGATCAAGCTTTTAGCCAGGAATTGGTACATGGCTGTTCACCAATCATTTGAAACCACTGAGTGAGAATCAACAAGATGTGCTTTTATTTGTTTATTTTCTCCTAAAAAGTGGCTGTCCAGGGGATGGCTGGTCGGCCACCTGGCTAAAAGCTTGGTTCAAATGATCATGCAGCATGCAAACAGAATCGTGTCTATAGCTCAGGGGATAGAGAATTTTGCCATTATGCCATTAAAAAAGCATTCTGTTCTTAACTTGCCCAACAGGCAAGTGAAGGGGGATTTAACTACAGATTGGGGAAGTACTTTAAGACAAATTTCAAATTCCTCATTAATTCACATGGACCAACTGAAAGCCATGGTTTTAGGTTCATCTGACAAAGTAAATTCTGTAAAAACTAGTATCAAAACAAGTATACTGCTGGCTGCGAGTCGCCAAGGTTTCAAATACTGCACATGGTGTATTTCGTCCAAAATGTACATAAATACAGAAGATATAAAATTCGAAATCTATGTAAAGATATCAACAGGAAGTACAATCAGTCAAGAAATGTTAAAACAAACCGTAAATAAGAATAATATTCACGTACCCATTGGTGTCTCTCAAGTTTTGCAACTAGTAGTAATGATCTTACTAATCAACGATTGTTACGTCATGTCATTAGTCGTGATTATATCATGCATGAATTTCGTGTTATACCGAAACACTCCCCCGCCACTCGTGTTAATAACACTACATTTCATTTCAGACTAGAGGTTGTGTGATCGCCACAATCTCCGGGTAAAAGTAAGGCTCGTAAAGCTTTTGTTAAATTGTAGCTGACTAAAACGAATAAATAAAGCAATTAATTAATTAACTAATGCTGTAATTATTAATTAATTAATTAATAATTAATTATTACTCCTGCTCATCAAATCTTTTTTCGGTCTAGTACATGCTAGCTGTAAAACTGATTCTCTTTGCATGCAGCTGTCATGTCATTAATTACAGAAGGCTGTGACTTACGTATTGGTAATTGGCCTTGCCTCGTCCATTTTCCCTCATCATAACCGAAAGTCTTTTCATGATACAGGGATTAGATGGGCTTCTGTATCTTCTAGACTTAAACTTGGCTGCAAACAGAATAACAAAAATAGGTGAGTGGTTCTAACTCTCCAAAAACTGGTAACAGTACTTTTTAACCCTTTAAACTCTAAGATCAAAATTTGAATTCTCATTTGTTGCCCCTATTCATTTCCTACAGAAGTAGTGGGGAGAAGTTGATAAAATATCAAGCAAATTTGTTTTGTTTGATCATGTCTGTAACTCTCATGACCACTCTGTTTTACAAAGAATTGATATTAAAAGGAGAAATATGGTGCTGATCACTCTCAGGGCTTAAAGGGTTAATAAAAAAGAACGTTTTCTACTGAAGATAATGTTATTAATAGTAATTTTATCTATGTATATGTTACAGGTCATAATTAAAATCAGGTAAAATTTTTTTAACCCAGGTTGATTCTCAATTTCCTTTGTCTCTTAGCCATGATTCATGAATAATTACGGCCAGGAGGCAAAGGATATTTAGAATCAACCCAGGTTAAAAAAATAATTTTAACCTAAATTTAATTTTGACCTGTAACATAATCGTATATATGTAGGTGTGTGGGTATTGTTTCACTGATTGAGTACACTTTGGTCCAGTTTTGAAAAATTCTTAAACAGTACCGCTTTTTTGCAGGAAATTCTTTCAGTGGAAATTTAAACCTTAAGACGTTAGACCTTTCTGCAAATTACATTGCATCATTGAAGGTACAGTTTATTGTCTTGCCAGCCTTAACTTATTTTTAAGGATTTTTACCCGTTCAAAGTTAATTCACCGATACTCGTCCATGGCGCTGGACAGCAGCTCGATCAAAAGAGCAAATGGTTGCTTGCTTTAAATTTTCCAACCAAATTTTCTACAGTGGGACCTCAATTTGATGGTCCTCTTTGTGATGATATTCTTGGTATAATGACTTTCTTCACCCCAGCAAAAGCAAAATGTGTGGATAAGAACCTCAATATAACAAAACCTTGTTATAGTGAACATATTTTGTGGGTATCTTGGCTCTTCGTTATATAGAGGATCTACTGTAATGTAATACCATATTTATTCGATTAACCGCTTATTTGAGTTTGAGTGGGAGTGGGAGGGAGGTGGGGTGGGGGTGGGCGCTTATTCGAGGCTGGGCGCTTATTAACTTTTTCCGCCTTTAGGATGGGCACTTATTTGAGGTGGGTGCTAATTCGAGGTTGGGCGCCTATTCGAATAAATACGGTATTCTTATTTCATGTTCAACTAACAAATAAATATTTTATTATCCAGGTCTTAGATAGTCTGCTACAGAGCTGTTTTTAGTGTCGTCACGCAACGCTCCTCCCCACAATTACAAAGGGAGGAGCATTGCGTGACGACACTAAAACTGGCTGTGTAGCAGACTAGGTCCTAGAAGAATGACCTACATAATAATATAAATTTCCCTTTACCAGGTAAAGACCTGTCTGATGTTGTTTTTAAATTGTATAGGATCTGACAAACCTTTCGCGTCTACCTTGTCTGGAGTCATTAAGCCTAAAGGATCCGGTGTATGGACCAAACCCTGTAGCTTTGTTGTGTAACTACTCCACTCATCTGCTCTATCACTTGCCACAGCTACGTAGAGTTGACTCATACAGTGTGGAAAACAAAACACTCAAAGATCTAGCAGAGGTTTGTTTCTAACTAAATAAAGCTTTGGGTAACATTGCCAAAAAATTATTAACACGGAATCCATCTGGAAATTGATTAATTTCAATTTTCAGTTTGCAAAAACCTTGTACCAGAATAATTTAAACAATATCGCATTCTTTTTTACATTTTTCAAGGGAAAAAAGAAAGTCGGCGTTGTCTTGTGTTCACGTCCTCCACAAAACGATAAATTAGGCATTTTCACGTTGTAGTGGTGCAGTGACGGCAAAGAAATGTACATAAAAGCGTGATGCACGTGCCAAGTTGTTGTTTTGCTAATTTAAACCTATTGCTTTTTTGGCCGTTCTCGTTGACGTCGCCTTCGTCGTTGCTTAAGCTCCCTAATATATAAATGTGTTTGGCTTTGGATTCAGGTTTTTCTTTATTTACAGACCACAGTGGTAAAGAAAAAGATGTATTACAACATGCGTGTAAAGACCCTACAAAGGAACAAAGCTGACTTACTTTTCCGACTTGAGACGGAGAAAGCTGTTCTTCAAGCAGAACCAAAGAACAGGATTCATAAGCTCTACTCAGCTGTTAAAGATGTGAGTACTGGCCTCGCTGTAAGACTAAAATCATAATGATACCTCGTAGTCTCCAAGGTGTTGTCAGACGCTTGTAGAGACTGCCTTATATGCAGGGTGCGCCAAAACGTATGTCCGATTTTCCGGGACAGGTAGAAATTTAGGTCGGACATGTGAACCTTTGACATAACTTGTCCGTGGGACAAGCACATTTTTAATAGAAAAAAAAAACAGAAACATTTAAAAATTGCAATTGCACTAGAATTAAGATTGATCTTATAGTCATAAAAGGAAACCTCATACTTAGAAAATAAGGTTAAATATTCTTTTTAACTTTCCCATACTGCGGCTCCATTTGGCTTGGGAACCTGGTAAAACTTTCTGGACAAGAACTCTTGGGTTTTGGACAACCAAATTTAATATAGAGCTTGTCCAAGTGACAAGTGGATAAGGAAATTTTACTCTTACTCTGCCTTATATGGTCCCCAAATTTTCGTACGATTGTCAAGATCGAGCACTTACCGTTACGGGCCGCCATCTTGGTATCAAATGTACCGAGGCGGCAGGCTCCGTTTTTTTCACGTCGTAATCGTGCAAAAACGGAGAAGAAATGTGCCAAAAAAGTGTGATGCATGTGCAACGTTGTTGTTTTGCTTATTAAACCTATTGGTTTTTTTTTTTTGACGGTCTTGTTGCCGTCGCGTCCTCGGATCTTACAGTCCCTATTGTCTCATCTTTATCGAGTTGCGAGCCAGTGTGACCCAGCTAAGTTGGCCACCCTTCTGGCCGAGCCAACTTTCTGTTTCTCATGTAAACGGTGCACCGCGCTTTGTAAGGAAATGTATGAAATGTTAGCTCGCCCGCCCAGGGTAGCTCAGGTAGGTGGCTGACCCGTCTACCCGAGACAACGTTTGTCCGAGGTGAGGATAAAAGCCACGATATTTGAAAACAGCACGAATTCACTTAAGTGACGCTTTTACGGCCATCGCTGGTGTGCTTGTTGAAGCTCCCTCACGGAAGGTTTGACTGTATTCTTATATTTCCTCGTAGATTGAAAGAGAAGTAGAAGAACTTACGGACGGGACGTCCACGTCTTTTAAAGAAAACAAAAATCCCATCAGCCCTGCTACAGGTGATGAAGAGAAAAAGGAAAACATTCAGGAAGACGCAGCGAATATCGTAGCTGATACAGTGGTGTATTCACAAAGATTACAACAGAAGAAGGAGGCTCTTTTGAAAAGAATTGCTAAGCTACAGAAACAGTGCGAAGAGTAAGTAGTGCCATGTTGCCATTTTAGAAGGTTTTTCTCCAGTTACGCTAAGCAATCTTTCTTTTAAATTGCCCTGCATTATTGTTGCTCCTTTTACGAGACATGTTGCATGGAACCTCGCGTAGGCCTTGTTTATATGCCCTGGGAAAGAGGGTCACCCTCACCTAGTCAACTTTAGCGAGCGTTTATACGAGAAACAAGTAGACCGTTCTTCCCAATTAAAGTCCCAAGTCAACAGCACTCGCGCATGCTCTGATTGTTTAAAACAGCGTCAGTGCATCCTCTGATTGTCTTCACCGAGTTGAACCTGCTGGGCGAGTTAAAGTGTTTTTTTGGAGAAAAATTGGTCCGACTAGGAGAGTAACCCTGCAGTCGAAAAGGTTTAACTCAGCTAAGCCGGGTCACCTATCTAGCCGAGCCAACGTTATGTTTCTCTTGTACACGGTTCGCCAATTTTTGTAAGGAAATGGATGAAAAGTTGGTTGGCCCAGGCTAGCTCAAGTAGGCGGATGACCCCTCCACCTAGGAAACTTTTCTCTTTATATTCGGAGCCTTAGTATAACAACTCGGTCATTGATTTTTTTTTAAGCAACCAGTTCCTATTGATGTTTATTGGCAAATTCTGTTTTAAGGATTGACCAGTGCCATCAAGAGAGCTGTGATCAAGTGAACAGTGTGTCAGAGATGACAGTCCAGCGACTTCTGTTAGAGTTGGAGACCGGTGGAAATGTGCGCTTTGAGGATGGTAAACCATCAGATCCCTGGTACAAATCATGCCATGACCTTGTTTTGTCAAGATTCTGTGTTGGAGACTACCAGGTATATTCATTTTCTTTTAGACTGGAGTCAGCCTTATCAGGGAGCTTGAGCGACGACGACGGCAATGAAAACTGCAAAAAAGAAATAGGTTTAATAAGGAAAACAACAACTTACACTTTCTGTTGTTGCAGGACTTCGTCTTGAAACGTCCTAATGTCGCGTGTTGTGAAAGTCCGTCAAGTTTCAAAAAGGACACGATGAGTGGAAATTCTGGGGGCATTTATTTCTCTGGATTTTTACACTGTTAGAAAAAGAAATTATTCACTGGAAACAACAACTTGTAGTTGATTGCCTTAGACACTCCAGATCCTGCAAGTGAAAATAGGAAATCCGTCTCTAATGAAAAACATGAGAATCAATAACGAAGACCATTCATGGCAGTAGTTAAAGGTGACTGGTCAATCATCATTAAACATAGACCCGCACTTGACCTGAAAAAGCTGATTGGCTACTGGTCCTAGGGTCACAATTTACTACCGATTGACTGTAAAAAGAAGCTTTAGGAATTGTGAAAGGGTCAGGTCAAACTCCATTGTTTCACCCAATTTGGGGGAGAGGTGACTCGCATGCTATTGAGCACTGCATGTTCTCTTACTTCGCGCTTCAACACGATTGTAGTAATAGTTGGCGTGGCTTGTTCAGTTTCATACCAGAAGTGTAACATTTTTTTTGCTCAATGTCTTTTTTAAAACTTCTTTCACAGGGTGCAGGAATTTCTGGAATTAAAATTCATCGAATCACAAGGGTACACAACAGAATCTTACGAACACGATTTGATGATAAACTGGACAAGATTCTAGACAAAGACGATATTACTGAACTAACCAAGTATGAACACTTTGATATACTGTAATAAATATCTCAGTTATATAAAGATTATACACTTGAACATCCATGTGCGACCACCTCCTATAAGCGACCACCTATCCAAAGACAAAAATTTTCCCAGTCAAAATCCTATGATTACAACCTCTGGTAAACGACGGCCTCTCATACTGGCACTGAGACCAATTTTTAGCCTGACAGTTTAATAGTTTTCGCGTTGTTTTTAACCTCTTGTAAGCGACCACCTGAACTAATTACCAAGGCTCCTTCAGGTTCAGGGGAGCCAAGATCTGGAACATTCACGCTTCGTCTAGCCCTGAGGAGCGAGCATGATTTAATTACCGATAAGTTTTGGTTTGGCCTAGAAAGGCACTTTAGATCCAAGCCAAATTGAGCCTCCAATACTTTCGCTATACTTAGTTGTTCCAATTTTTTTTATCTGTTATTGGTTTTTGTGTTTTTTTTTTCTTTTCATCAGGGCCCCATTCAAACCAGCCTCGCTGAACTGGTCACCCCTGAATAAATATTGTTCAAAATAAGAATAAATAAATTTAGACATTTAAAAACTAAAATACATTTGTGAGCTTTAAATAAAGTTTTCATTCATTCTTACCCCAAAAAGAGACCTAGCCAGTCCCTACTATACTACTTTGTGAAATTCATATTTTAGTGTATCAACATTACCATATCCGAAGTCAAATTTTGTGTCGTGTAGTGTATTTGAGATGGAAGTAGTTAAAGTCGTTTCAAGCTGGACTAATTCCTGTTTTGTTCCAGGGGAAGATCGTACAAGAGATTTTTAGAATATCTATTCTTTATGTGGGATCCATCTTTACTTGACGGGAACGGAGAACCCATCAGAGTCTTGGAGAAAGGCTTCCGTCCTGCATCTGTTTACGAGGTGCGTAAATTTGTGTGTTTATATACGTGACTGCATTAAACCATGAAAACTGCCACTCTCCTCTCCAGGATAATTGACCGAACAAGAGAGAAAAATCCTTATGCTCCTCCGTTCAATATTCAGGAAAGGGAACAAATTTCATTTTGTGAAAATGCTGAAGACAAATTACTTTAGTAGCATGCTAGACACTGCGAAAGAGGCTTCATTCGAATGGTCACACTAAAGGATTTCAACCGCAGACTCAAAAGTTAGAACTACATAGTAAATATCAGAGCCATAATGGGTCCCATTATGGCTCCTGTAAATATATAGTACCACGTAAACGTACTGCTGAAGAGGTTTCATTTTAATTATAACACCCTAGGATCTCATCCACAGACTCAAAAGTTAAAACTAAATACTAAGTAAATAGTGCTATGTGAAAGTACTGCTGAAGAGGTTTCATTTGAATGGTAACACCATAGGATTTCTTCCACAGACTTAAAAGTTAAAACTACATACTAAATAAATAGTACCATGTGAAAGTACTCCTGAAGAGGTTTCACTTGAATGGTCACACCATATGATTTCATCCGTAAAATCGAACGTTAGAACTACATACTAAAAAAATAGTACCATGTGAAAGAACTGCTGAAGAGGTTTCATTTAAATGGTTACACCATTGGATAACAATCATCCACAAACTCAAAATTTAGAACTGCGTACTAAATAAATAGTACATTGTGAAAGTACTGCTGAAGAGGTTTCATTTGAACGGTCACACAATAAGATTTCATCCACAGACTCAAAAGTTGAAATTATGAATGGCCTGTAATTGGCTCTGGGATTGTAAAGCGCTCTGTACATTAATTCTGTGTTGATTCTTTGTGTTCTGAAGGAATTGAATGAAGATGGTGGTGTACCTCTCGCGAACAGCGTCAGTGTCTGTGACACACCCAGAGTGGATTACCTCAGGACAAAAGCCAAACAGAGAGAGAGTACCGATCAATGCCCGTTTAGGCATGGTGAGTGTTCTACAGTGGCCAGGAAGTCAAATAAAACAGTCTAAAGCGATACAAATCAATAGGCTTTCTCCAAGCACTTGTCTTATGTACGTTATTTTAATGCAAGCATTAGTAATTGATGATGAAAAACCTGATTCGCCAATTGAAGAATGGGTACCTCAGATATCCAGGAGCTTCTCCTATTGGCAGATTATTGGCAGCCAACTCAATCAACCAGGTGGAGTCTGCATGGCTGGTATATCTTGGCAACCCGACCTTAAACCTCAGGGAGGGGGTAACAGTCGTTAACTGACGCCAGCTTGCAGTCGCTGACCACCCGTGGAGACAGCTCAATTTGAGAATTGTTTGAGAGCACTTGATGTTTTGATGCATAGACAAAACTTGATTCCGCTGACCGCGATAGGGCAGCTTGGGCGCTCTTAGCTGTCAACCCCGTTAGGTGTCATTAACCGACTCTATTTTTTAAGGGTTTGCAGGATTCTTCGGTCTACAGATTGCCGTGATAACGCAATTGTCCTACTTTTCGGGGAGCCACGAAGCCTTTTGAAACAGTAAATTAATGACCCAAATAATGTCCCTATAGCCCTAAAAAATAGTTGGTGTTTGTAAAGTTCAGTCAATGGGTTCTTTAGAGCTTCGTGGTTCCAGTACTTTCAAGTCCAACAAAATAATTATTTACCCTGTGTTACGTTTAGGTCAACTGATCGTCGCCAAAGTGTTTGTTGGAAATGTGGTACCTGTTAAGAATGAAAATAAGTAAGTGAAACATGACCTTTTTGTCTTCAGTTATAGTCAAGCTTTTGTATATTTTGTTATCATTTTTCGAGCATTTTAGTGAGGTAAGGGCATTAAGCTATGTATTATTCCAGTATTTTTGCGAAATTTTCCCGGAATTTTTTTTTGTGTTTTCAGAGAAGATGAAAATTGTACAAAAAACTTTAGGAGAAAATGAATACTTGCAGTCGACAGGCGAAAGAAAAAAATTCACATGTCATACAGCCGACTAAGGGGTTATCTTTTGCTGTACAAAAACCATTAACTTGTTTATGTTGTTGTTATAACATTAATAAGTTTTTGAAAAGAAACGAAAAAAGCCACTTTATGATGGATGTGATCGAGCATGTTAGTGACTTTTGTGGGAGAGAGTCAGACCAAGCATTTTATTGGGAAAAAACGGAGCATAAAGGTGGAGCATGTTATTTGGAAAACAAAAGCGTAATGCACAAAAGTCCAGTTATAGTAGCTACAATTAGTTTGTAGATACCTGGTGGAACCCAGAACACTTCGCCACTTGCAGATCTCCTATAATGCACCTTATTTGCCCCCCAACATTTTGCATAAGCATTGCTTTCAGTTTCTCTTGGGGCGGCTGTAATACCTAGGAGAAATGAAAAACAAAGGTTATGCAAAATGTTGGGGGCAAATAAGATGCATTATCGGAGATGTGCAAGTGGCAAATAAGACGGAAATATTTGGCCAAGAAAGTACGCTGGGGTGGGAGTTACAAGACCTCTCTTCTTTCGTTTTGGGTGAAAACTATCTCTGCATCCTTTACGAAAATATTCAAGAAGCTTTTTTCTCATGTTCTGGAAACTCTCGAATTCTGGATTATACAGTCAATTCTCTCTCCACACTATTTGTCCGTTCGGCTTGATAGGTGTAAACTAACAACGTTGATTTTTCCTTCTTTAATAGAATTACAAAGGCGTCTTATCGAGGTGCAGACTCCGTTTATCGAAGTAGGGTACACGAGAACTGCCCGACAAAGCCTGGGTCGGGTTTGAAAAGATCAGTCAGGGACACGAATTGCGAGTGCAGTACGCAGCAGTGCGCGTGGTACGTGTTTGATAACGAGATGGTGCTGCCTGAATACGTTGTGGACTTTGAATATACAACAAAGGTAACTAGATCGATTTTACCCCATATTCCTGGCTGGTTGGACTGCACTGAAAATTAGTAGGATATGTATGGGAAAAACAGCTCTTGCCACCCAGTTACGGTTAAGAAAAATCATAAGGTTCTTTTCAGTCTGTTCTTAAATCCCAGTTACGGTTAAAATTTTTTTTTTTCATAACAACAATCCTTATAAATTTCGAAAACTTTCAATCTGTTCTTAAATTTTCTTTTCCTTAAATTTCGAAATTTTCAACCTTTGCACAGAGGTGCTCAAACTTATGAAAGACAATTTTTTCATAACAGAAAATCCTTGTAAATTTCGAAATTGTCATGCTGTTTTGAAATCTTTCCTTTAACAAGCATTACTAGGCTGAAATTTTCTTTTGTTCGTAACAGACAACCCTTGTAAATTTCGAAATTTTCAACCTGTTGTAAAATCTTTCCTTTCTCATTACGGGGCTCAAATTTATAAAAGACAATTTTCGGCGACCGTTGTAACGGCTACTTTTGAAATACATTGCTGAAAATTTACAGGATATCGAATTTTGTATGCTCTTTCAGTTCCTGCTAAAATCATTCTTCCAAAGAGAGTTGTCTTCGTGTTTACTGAAAGTTGATCATAAGTGACCACCTATTGCAAAAGGCCTGTTGTCTTATTCCACGCACATGTAGGTAAACTTTCCTATTTGCAGGTGAAGCCCAAGTCGTCATTTATTTACTATTACGGAGAACATGTGGACAACGCTACTCACAAACCAAGCAATGACGAAGAAAAATATGACATTCCCGACGGAGATGTCTTAAATCTGGAGCCCAACATCCCTATAAGACCAAGGTAAAAGTTGAGAAAAATTGCTGTCAGAACATACTGGCCCAATGCGAATAATGACCGGCAGTATCATACGAGGGGATGGATGATAACAAGTGATTATAAGCAGCTGTCGTATGCACTCGTAAACTGCTCTCAATAAAGTCACGATGCGTTGTGTTTGCTCTCTCGTTCAGCCTGTAACCCCCCCATTTTTTTTTAATCTTGCTAATACAATTCCTCACTCTAAAATAACACATTCTCTGTCTCGCTCTCTCTCTCTCTCTCTCTCCCTCTCACCACCTTCCCACGTGGTCAAGTCTAAATAAATTATGGTTTGCGCTTACGCAAAGTCCTACCCACAAGGGAGGGGAAGGTTAACCTCTCGCACACAGCGGTTTCTGAAATTCACACTTCTTTTATCAGTGACTTCTGCTTCCCGCCACTTTTTTATTCGTCCCTCACTTTCCCAATCCGAACGTTTTCACAATAGTGCTCTTTTTTTGCCGTCTTTTGCGATACCTTTATGGGTAAAAACAAGCGTTAGCTTTCCGTCCTGAACACCCTTAATGAGACCGAATCTGCAATTTCTCCACCTAAGAGAGACGACGGGCATCCCTACCTTTTTCTTCCTCCCCCAGTCTTACTCGCCGCCCTAACAGGCCCAGGGGACCGTTTCTCGAAAGTCCCAGTAGCTTTTCGGGCCCGAAATCAAATATTGAAATCGAAATATAAAGAATAAAGGCGTGGGTCCTGGTTAGCAAGCTACTTCATTTTGTTTTATTAACTGATAGTTTTTCATGTTAGATGCAAAGCTATTGAAACCTCGATCTTTAATGTAAACGGCAACAGCTTACCGCGCCCGTTAATTATCGGGACTTTCGAGAAACGGGCCCCAGGGGTTGTTCCGTACTATTTTTATGGATCAATTTACGTTTCTGGGAAACTACCCACCTACCCCTCCCCTAACCCAACATTTTGCCTTGAGTGAGAAGTAAGTGTTAATGTTGACTTAGGGGAGGGGTAGGTGAGCAGTTTCCCAGAAACCTAAATTCATCCATTTTTACTTCCCATGTAAGTTAAGAGTGTAAAATGACAGAAAGCTCAACATAGAATTCTCCAGGTGCAAAAAGTGTCAGGGTTGTTGGAAAAATAGAGTTTTTGATGATTGACCGATGTTTTTTCTACTTTTTTTCAGGTTAATTGCTTTGACGGAAGAATTGTTACTAAAGAGATGTAAAGTGGCGTCTCTTGAGCATATTGTCGTAAGTTAACCACGAGACCGAACAAACCCCAAATTTCCGGAAAATTCCACTTGATATTTCAGAAAGTACTTAAAACATACTGCATCCCTGGAGTTATTACACAAAGCTCTAGATTGTAAAACCGTATTCCTTTTCCTGCTGGAGGGGACAACTCAAGAAAGTTTTGTACAGGGGGCTTTGCATCGAGGATCAACCCCTAACCGGTTCACAAGCCTTTACGTGCCAAATTTCAATAATTACTATTTTTCTTTCTTCTAAGAAAAATTCTAACTCTTTGTTATGTGCCAAGGTAATATGATGATAGACAAATAATTATCTCCAACAGTCTTGGTACAACGGGTCTATAGCGGACTGTTCACAGTACCTGATTTTCCCTACGATCGTCGATATTAAGCGCTTACTGTGGCTGGTGGCCATCTTGTCATCTTAGTTTCAAATGTCTCGATTGTAACCCCATTGAAGAGTATCAAATCTACCTAGGGAGGGAGGCTATAAACCCCAACGCCCGCCCTCTCGGTACATTTGAAAACCCCAGTGAAGAGTATCAAATCTACCTAGGGAGGGAGGCTGTAAACCCCACCGCCCACCCCCTCGGTACATTTGAAACCAAGACATCTGTAAGATGCAGCAAGCGCTCCATCTGAACGATCTTACGGAAACGTTTGGTAGTGTAAGTAGTCTATTGGGACCATGACCGTGGCAGCAACAGAATTATTTGCGCCGCAATTTTTTTTTCTGGAAATTACTGTTCATTAGTATTACTGCACTCAATGTTTCGATGAAATACGTCGTACTTTCTGGCTGCAACGCCTTGTTTGCCTTCAGACCACTGGACATATCATTGTTATAAGTCTCTCTTGTATGGGATACTATCCTGTACCATCCCTACTTAGATCACAACGAAAACTCATGAATAGATGTCAGTGAAGTAGAAATTGTATTCGGATCTTTGGTTATTACAGTTTGTTTGTTTATTAGCCTGCTAGCAAGCCCTCCATTTATGGGGAGGGAAGCGAGTCGCGCGAGAACGCGCGAGCGAGCGGCGAAACCGCGAGGGTCGCGGGCCTTCTCGTGTGACTTCTCGCGATTCCCCCAAATGGAGAGCTTGCTCGCAGGCTATTTGTTTATGAGTTCTGAATGCTTTTCCTTTCAGGTTTTGAATCTTCACGGAAACGGACTGAGTCGACTGCAGCACTTGACTTGTATGACAGCACTGAAGAAACTGACAGTCAGCTTCAATGAACTGACGCGACTGGATGATATAAGTTACATGGTAATGTCAGATGATTTAACTTAACCACTAAGCACTCAAATCAACTTGTAATTGCTTCCTTGGTTTCTGTCAGATGTTGTTGTTTGAGAGAATGTTGAGTTTGTTTTTCCTTTTTTGATAGCTTTTCTTGGAATACCTCGACGCCAGCTTCAATAAAATCACAACCTTGGATGGTCTGAAGGTTTGTCAAATTTCATTCATCTAGTACTGCTAAAATCGTCGATAGAATAGATCCGCCTTCTTCAAAACAACCTGCTCAAAAAACGCTCCAGTAAATCGAGTATTACTGGTTTGCTTTAGACGATATCAATTTCCAAAATTAAGAATAACAGAATCCATTCTCATAAGTTTTTAGGCCTGTCAGATGTTTAATTAGATCTCCGTTGTGCTTCTATTTTGCAAATTTTTTTAATTCCCGAACTTTTGCATGAGACTAGATTAAAATGGGTACCTGAGAGATTTCAGGAGGGTAAAACATTAGTTATGTTTGAAGTTTTTACTAGATGACAAGCCTTGTATTAGAAAAACTAATACAAGGATCTTGAGCTGTTACTTTATTGCATTTTTAATGTTTATTGTTGATGGTTAATAGTAAAAACCCGCAATTAATCCAAGAATAATACAGTTGAACCTCTCCACAATAGCTACCTTGGGAACAGAAGAAAGTGGCCGTTGCAGAGAGGTTTTAATGAGGGTCAATGTATGGATAGCCTGCGAACAGCAGACGTATTTCCGGTCGTAGAAGCGACGACCGGAAATACGTCTGCTGTTCGTAGGCTAATGTATGGACTGTCCGCCAAAAAAAGTGGCCGTTAGTGGAGGTTCAACTGTAAAGTTGTGCCATATTTCCTTCACAGGGTTGCAATAGGTTAAAATATTTAGACGTGAGCTGGAACCAACTGAGTCACACCCGAGAGCAACTGGGCATCACGAGGAAACATGTGATCACACTCACTCATCTGGACACGCGTAACAACCCCTGGCAAAAGGTGAATATACTCGTTACATACCCGCAAATAGATCACAGCACTATACCGTATGATATGTCAAGGCTATATACTGGAATCTTTTGTGAAAACGGCAATGGGCGCGACCCTTGAAGAGTTAAGTGAGGTCTCCATTTTCTTATCCAGGGTCTCAGACGTAATTTGACCCCTGTTTATAGCAACGTCTGTGAAGCAGCACCGATAGGGAACTTAAGCACCAGACGTTCTTGATTCACGGACGGCATGGCTGGCGGCGCAGAACTGGATCGGGCACGCTGTTTACGTGCCAAATGCAAATCGTTAAGCAAACCAACGTGAAACCATCACGAACGCTGACAGAATAATTCATTTCTTTCAAATATTTGCGTGAAGTTTTGTTTCTTTCTTACGAAGAAAACATGATTTCGGACGAAGGATTCTTCTTTTGAATGACGAATACTCTTCGAAGAACCCAGAATTTGAACTTCTGCTTTCAACCTGAGAACTCGCGTTTTGAAGTCTGTGGCCACAACTCAAGAACGTCTTGACAAGCGCGGCGTCTGTCATGCTGCAAAAATACTTCCGGTTGGCGTCCGTGGTACCAAGAACATCTGGTGCTTAAGTTCCCTGATATCTTTGTTCTGGGCCCCAAACAGACTTAACGAATTACCGGAAATGTGTTTGAAATTTCCGTCGAACCTGATTGGCAAATCGACAATGGCTTTTTTAACAGTCCAATCACCGCGCGTACCTTGGCCCAGAACTAAGGCCTTTTAACAGTCTTTTAACAGTTTACTACCAGAATTCTTCAGGGATTGGCTTTCTTGTGCAATGTAGGGCTTTTGTAGTAATAGAAGTCAGTGGTGAATTGACCACAAAGCGCAAGTACCTTTTGTTTCTGCACGTAGATAGGGTTTACCTCTTCATCTCCTTTTCAGTTGTGAATAAACAGTTATTATTATTATTATTTATTATTATTATTATTATTATTATTATTATTATTATTATTATTATTATTATTAAACCTCTGACAATACTGTTCTAGAAAACCTAAATGGTTTGGGACATTCCTCAAAGTCAGGCCGCATTATACATTCAATTATCTCTACAGTCAATTTTCTCTAAAGCTTTTGGACTGGCTGGCGCAATTATGTCGGTTTTGGGTGGTTTCGATCTTCTTTTTAAGTCAAGGGAGAGTTCATTTTGCCAGAATTGTTACTTTAATTCGATAAAGTCGTTCACTTTCATTGTGAGTCATCTTTTATGTTTCAGCCTGAAACTTTGCGTATGCGAGCTCTTGGAAGGTTGAAAAACTTGGAGTGTCTTGATGGTGTGAACGTCACGGACGAAGAGATGACGACAGCATTAAAGATGGCGGCTGCTTCCCGCCCCTCCTCGTTTTCAATCCTCGCGCACGCTCGCACAGACCAGAGTAAACCACGGACTTTGAGCTTGGTACCGACTGCACAAGCCATCTTAGGAAACAGCCAGAATAAACCCGTCAAGTTGATGGACGATGATAGCCAGTGGTTTCAAAAAGTAACGTCATAACGTTTTATGTTTTTATGTTACCAATATGCTGTCCACTGTTGTCGTTTTCACGGTCACCGTCCATTCATTGCTTTGACGGGTATGCACAACTGTGAGTAACCTGCATCACAGACGTTATTTAACTCCTGTTAGTAATGTCTGCGAACCAGCGCCAAGATCCTTGTACTGGGTTTCCTACGGACTCAATGAATTACCGGAAGTGCGTTTTCGGATTTCCTTTCGTCCTGACTGGCAAATGGACAATGGCTTCTCCTCGCCAAAGTGACGCTGGCTCACTCGTGAGCCCTACTTGGTTTTAAGAAAATCTCGTGGTCGTCCTCGTCTTAAAAACTAAAGCTCTCTATTGTGTTACTATTAGGTGCATTGTTTGGGTCCTTTACCTATTGTTTCATCAAACCAATAACAGCCGTGGATGTAAATAGTAAAGGCTCGCCTGAAAATCTCTACTAAGGAGCGGGAAAGTTGACAAGAAATACGTGTTTTAAACTATTGCGAGATGTAAAACTGGATGGAATTGAACAATGAGCTGTTATCTTAATACATGTAAACAATCTCCTAGACTTAATTCCAGCAAACTTATCCCTTTTTTATTAGGTCACAACAGTCAATCTTGATAACCAACATCTCGGCAAGTTAGCGAATATGGAACAACTGGAGAATCTGCGGTGGGCTTCTTTTAACAACAACGATCTCACCAAGATAGAGGTATAAAACGTCTAAAAGTGAACATAAAGAGCACGAATGTCTTCTTGTATTGCCAATCTTAGGCAATTCCGGCTGACATATTAGGGACTTAAGATGTCGTGAGGGCAGAGAGAATGTCGAAAAAGCAAAACCACAACTCTGCTCGCGCAGCACACTTTGGAATGTTCACGCTCGCACGAACATGACATGAAATTACTGAATTTCACGCCTTATGGAGAACATAAAAAACGTGAACAAATGTCTTCCCCTATTTTAAACTTGGATACTTTTCATAAGAATTTAACTCCAGGAGAGCTCTCCTGCATTTGACAAATTGAGCGAGTTGTAACAATCGCGCTGAAGTTTCAATGAACACGAAGCCCCTTTTTTAGTGAGCTTTTCGCACCCGTCGCGGTCGTGTGACGTGGTATCTTAAACTCCCTTCTATCTTCAATAATACCAGCCTTTTCAGGTCCAAACTCCGTCAACCAAAGACCTTTTATCGCTCAGTCCTCCATATTGAAGGGAACGCTATATTCGTGGACTCGTCTTGTAAAGAGCTTTGTTCTTTTTGTTTTCAGGGTCTCGAATCTTGCATTCATCTTGAGGAGCTTTCAGTTGAAAACAACTGCATCAGCAAATTTGAAGGTAATTTTAAAGACAGATTGCATGAGCCATGTCCATACCAAGCGGTTACCAACTGCTACTCCTTCAATTTCCCGCGCTTTTTTGCGTTATACTTATTATGGCGGGTCATATTACGTGGTCAAACTATCTTACAGCATTCTATTCTAAAATATTAGAGCGGTTCTCACTTGACTGTCGAAAGTAACTGAGGAATTGGTTTGGTTTTGGTTTTACTACGCCCTTTGGTTGGCTAGTGTATTTACTTTGGTTTTGGTTTTACGACAGTCAAGTGAAAACCGCTCTATAACTAAAACTTCCTAAACTCTGTTTGACCAATGCTTTTGCGCTGTCTTTTGATTCAGGTCTTTCCAAACAAACAAAGTTAACCTGGCTAAGTCTAGCCGGTAACAATCTTACGTCCCTCGACACCGGAGTCCTGGAAAAACTACCACAGTTGAGATATTTGTCTGTGGAAAACAACGCCATCACCTACCTTCGTGGGCTCCAGGTAACGTTGTTCACGTTTCTAAGCCAAGAACCTAGGAGCTTTCTATTTGTCCAAAAAAAATGGTCGTGTTTTTTGTTCAGAAAACTGAGAGGGAAATGTTTTCCAAGTTTTTTCAATGTTTTGTACCCAGGCTCCTAAGCAAATATGGGAAGAGTACAGGCAGGCTGGCTCCTGGGTCAGGTTACCGCAAAGGGTCATGGAAGGGGCATGCGAAGGCAAGCGCAAAACGAGCGAGGAGCGACAGACACGCGCGACGCGGAAAGGCACGGTTTTTCTGCGCTTTCCCGCGAGTCGCGTGTCTCGTGCTCCACGCTCGCTTAGCGCTTGCCTTCGCTTGCCCGAAAAACGTGAAAAAATAGCGCCATTTATGCAGGCTTGGTTTATGGTTAACGTGGTACGAAATTCTTGGAGATTCTTGCGCCAAATGAATCTTCAGTGCCGACCTTACTGTTGTTCTTCTTAAAAGAGTCTACAGAATTTGTTTTGAGATTTTAATCGCTGCTTCTTATTTCAGAATAATCAAAATCTTCAGGAACTTTACATAGGCAACAACCAGCTGACCAACATCCGGGAGATATTTAACCTAAAGGTAAAACAGATTTATCCCAATTTATGTCTTGCCGGATTTTTGAAAACGTTATCACCAAATAAGTCGCTTCCGTCAAACCGGTTTTTTTTTGCGGCCAAAGTAACCATTATAAAAACTAAGAGTGCAACCATTGCTTTTTGCTCTTCTCCTCCTTTCTTCTTCCTCGCTTTTTCTTTTTCTCTTTTTTTTTTCCTTCGCTGCTTCGATTTTGGAGCTTATCGAGCGCCAAAAACCCTGCCTTTTGGCCTTTTTCGCTCAAATGGCGCAGATTTCGTTACCTTCGTTGTCAAAAATTCGGCTAAATGTATAATTGTCTTTCAGTCATCCCTGTAAAAATGTATCAGTCAGTTATCCTCAGAATTAATACTTTATTTGTATTTTTTACCTAGACCATACCTAATCTTCTCATCCTTGACCTCTGTGGTAATCCTATGGCTTCCGCTGGTCAAAATTACCGCTTGTTTGTTGTTTACCACTTGACGTCATTGAAGGCTTTGGACGGACTGGCTGTGGTAAGGTTGTTTACATTTTTTGCCTCATTAACATAAGCTTATCATTATCTGATGAAGCTAATAAAATAAAATCTCTGAATATTGAAAAAGTAGAACAATTTCAGTCATCTCTGAAATTTTGAGCCCGATTTCTTCAATAGTTTCTGAGAAATCCTCTTTGAAAAACCCTAAACTTTACAAAGGATCCTGAATGAATGAGCTCATTAACGTTTTTGCTACCCAGCAATTTCGCAGTCTTTTGATTGTCTATATTTCCTTTGTTATTGATTGCAACTGGGGAGCTAAAACTTGCACAAACTGCTCGAATTAACCAACTCTTGCAACTTTTGAACCTAATGTGTATATACACGGCGACCGCTCCTATGGGTTAACTCGTATGCTAATGACAAGACTCTATAAACAATGACGTCAGGAAGGATTCGCCTATATGTTACAAAAGCTTCCTTAGTTTGATTGGCTACATTGCTGCTGTTATTGTTTACACGTCATGGGAGAACATAATCTTTTCATCAATCTGTTTTTCCACGACCTTTTTTTCCTTCTATGCATCTCAGTGTCTTTATTATTCTGTGTTTGAAGGAAACATCAGAAGGCAGCCTTGCCAAGGATACATTTGGAGGAAGGTTTGTGACATTTCAGACAGGTGACTCAGTTTATATTGATCCCAATGAGAAGACTCCTGATTCAAGCATATATTTCGTCTTTCTACAGGCTTACTCCAGATTTCATCGCCGAGCGCCTGGGTCATGCAAACTTCTCAGAGCTAAGAGAACTTGATTTACCTCACTGTAGCCTAAGAACTGTAGATCTGGGAACCAAAGATGTGTTCATTAATTTGAGAAGGTTAGTCTCTCCACGACACCCCTCTTCCTCCCCACCCCACCCCCTCCAGCACCTTAGTCTCTAGTGACCTAAGCCGACAGTCAATCATTGCGTCTGTGTCACTCAGGCATTTCTTTCCCGAGTCGAGAAAACGAGGAAAGGCACTTCATCAATCTCGTTTCCAGACATATCTCCTCTTGCTCCAAAAGTGAAAAGACCTGGGAAGTAGATTTCATTGTCATTGTCATGTGCTTAGTTGAGCTCAGGTGCTTGGCATTTTCTTCCTTTTGTGAACGAGCGAAAAGGCGCGTGCAATAGTGAAAACTACTAACGTTCCTCGCCAGTAAAGTGAGATAGCGGAAAGAAAGAATTAACAGGTAACTAGTTACAGTGGAACCTCGATATAAAAAACCTATATATAACGAATTCCTCGGTATAACGACCGATTTTGTTTACCCCAGTAATGCGAAAATATGTGGAAAAGTACCTCAATATAATGCAACCTCGTTATGGCGAACGTATTTTGTCAGTCCCTTGGCACTTCGTTATAACGAGGTTCCACTGAAACTTAGCTAGTGGTGCAGAACTTGCAATAGTTTCATTTACAGTTAACGTTACATTCTTTTTCAGTGTAAACCTGGAGCATAACTCGTTGACCTCTTTTGGCGGCCTTGTAAACCTCGTCAACCTGAAGGTAAAAGCTACCTGATATATATTTTTTGTTTCGTCAGTGTTTTAGAACAGTACCTCATTTAGACGAAAATGAGAAGAGACCAGTTTAAAGAATGAAAAGGAAAAATCTTAGACCCTACTAAATGATATGGTTTTATCTCTGTCCCTCTCAGGTCCTCTGTCTGAACCACAATCATGTCGAAAGCGGGATTGCAAAGCCGAAGGCAACGTCACCAGCGAACGCATCAAAACGAGGCACTGACTTTTCCGTAGCATCAGAGATAACCAACCCGGAGAATTTTACTCCAGTTCTTCCTAATCTTGAAGTTCTACACCTTGGGTAATAAATACTTAATTTATAGATTCACTCAAGTCGAAAAGCGAAGCTCCAGTTAATAAATTCACAATTTACCTTAAACAGTGTTACCATCGCAAAGAAATCCACTTAAAGTTGAGCCTGCGATCAGGTGAAAATTAGTAGCTTGTCAGCGGATAACTTCAAAAAACACGTTAACTCGTAGGGTCGATACCTGAGCCCGCGATATGGCCGTGTGATACTAGTTGGCGGATACCCTGTTTTGACGGCTGTCAATTGACGACAACATAGATGTGCAATATCAGGTTGCAGGCTCCCACATTAGCTAGAAAGTCTGAGATTTTACATTGGTTTCCGTGGGGTGCTGACGAACGGGTGGACGGAAGGACGGACGATCACGTGACTACCAAAATTTCTCGGATGGATAGATTTTCCTAGCTATAGAGCTCCACTATTGAATGTCCTTCCTCTATCCGTAGCTTTCGAATTGAAAGTAGAGGTTGTCTTTTATAGTTTGACCAAGGTTTTAGCTAGTAGGGATCTCCAGCCGTCCCATGGACGGCTATTTTTGGAAGAAATACAAGGAAAACGCACTTAATCTATTAAAATTTTAAGGGAAAACATGCCCTCTGGACGGCCAGTTTTCAATGTCTGAGTTAGACCCTTCACGTCCAATTAATTTTCGGTTGAATTAATCAAAGCCCAGTTTATTTTAGTTATTACGGACATTCAGCAAAGATTAGTCACTCGAAAAGCGCGCGTTTTCGACTTTGTATTTGCGGTAAGTTACCCCAAGATGTGAAAGGGGCGAACAAATTGTACGCAAATTCATTGAAGAAATGAGACATCGACTCCGTGGAACGCCCTATGTGTGGCTTTCGATTATACTTTCTGAGATGAACTGAAAAATACAGATTGAAATTTCTGCGGTTATATATTCCTTCAGACTTGTACCCTTTTTTTCTTTTTACGACAGATACAACGGCATCACTGATATGGCCGCCTTGCAGCTCTCTCGTCTGACTAATTTAAGAGCTCTTTTCTTACAAGGTAGGCTAAAAACTTTTAAAAGTTAAGTGATCACCTTTTTTCCATGTTAGGCCTTTCTTTTGTTCTAGTACTTCATCTTTAAACACGTGTGGGAATACTGTTGGGTTCTGGGAGCTTGCGGACAGTTCATCCCAGAGTCTTTCACACACCGCCATTTTAAAGCAGTGTTGAGAGGACCCTAGTTATAAGTCACGTCACCGATAATTGTGCGGATTTGATGTGTACTTCTTTGGGATGGACGCGTCGAACCTCAGATCACAGGTCGGCTTTCACGTTCGAACTTTGGATTCCGTACAGGAATCGTGTTGTTTCCATCCGAACCAATTAGTCCATCCGTTATTCCAATATTTTTAGTTTCATGTCGCGTTATTCTTTTTGCTAGATTCTTGTGCCTTTGAATAGAAACTTTTTCCATATTCCCTGAATCGTTGTTCTCTCTGTTTGTTCCTTTCCAGTAAGGCCCAAAGTCCAATGTCCGATTTGTCTTAGTCCACTCAATAGCCATTTGAATATGGTTTGTTTGGGGTGGTCCACCGATTTGTCTTAGTCAACTCGGCAATGGATGGGGTTGGGGTAACTTAACCTATTCGTAACTAACACTCGTCGATGTTTCTTTCTTCTGTAACCGAGATAAATTCTGGCGGTGCGGGCCTTCTAAGTTCAAACTGTGCCTTTGCCTTTATTTATTTAACTTTTATATAAAGCGCAAAACTGACCGGGAGCTAATTTCTCTACAAGTTGTATTATTGTTCTCTGTAGGAAATGATATCGGCAAAATAGAAGGATTGGAGGGACTACTAGAACTCCGAGAACTTGTTCTCGATCGAAATAAAATCAAGGTAATAATTTTCGAAAATAGAACTTGATTTATCCTATACTGTTAGCTTTATGACCAAAAAAAAAAAGTATTGTTTGAAAAGGTTCTAAAGAAAAAAAAAAAATCTATCAGGTTTTACCTTGAATATAGACTTTTATTTTTAGAAGAGAGCCCTTATGCGTTAGTGAGTATTGCCTGAAGAAGTCAAAGACTTTTCACGTAAAAGACTATTTTCTTGACGTGTGCAAGTTTTCGGGACAAACACTTCCGTAATTGTTATAGTGGAAAATGTAAAGTTATTTCAACAGTCAAGATATATATCTGCATCAATAGTTACGCGCGATTGGAGCGCAGGTATTGTACCTCGTGTTTCATGTATAAAGGAACGTTAGGTTATACCGGAGAGTTTTTCGTGCCGTGTAAAAAGCAACGGCCTGGGGCGACACAAGTCGTTCACGCACATTGAACATCGTGGCGGCGCAGTTGGCCGAGAGGGCTTGGTGAACTCAAATTCCAGTCCTCACTTCTAAATATTTACTTCCGTCTCAGTGAGTTCCAGTCCTCGCTCCTACTTATTTTCTTCCGCGGTGGACTGAATATGTGTTCACATTACACCAAAGTTTGGCACAAAACCTATCCGATATGTGGCGCGCCACTTTCGAGATTGGCGCGGCGCAGCTTCGCTCCGTCACAGAAATCGCGCCGAAAGAACCATTCTTACGTGTAAACAGAAGCCCTTTTCGGTATGGCTTTTGTGTCGACACGAATAGCTATCTGACATAGTATGAACACCTATCCGATATGTGACTCTTCTCTTTAGAGATCGGCGGGACGCAGCTTCCCGCCGTTGCAGAAATCGCGCCAAAATCATCGTTCATATGTGTCAACAGAAGCCCTATCCGGTAAGGCTTTCGTGACGACATGAAAAGCTATCTGATATAGTGTGAACCTATTCGATACGTGACTCTCCACCTTAGAGATCGGCGCGGCGCGACGCAGCTTCCCGCCGTTGCAGAAATCGCGCCAAAATCACGGTTCTTATGTGAGAACAGAAGCCCTATCCGGTATGGCTTGTATAGTATGAACATAGCGTTAAGGAAAGGTCCGCTCCCGATGGGAATGTACCTATAGGGCCTGGTATTTACTTAAATTTGCCTATGGTTCCCGCAGGGTATCTCAAGCACGTCATTTATGAGTCAGTGGAATGTCACCGAGTTACACATGGAAGAAAACAGGATACGGGAATTAACTAACCTTGAGCCGCTTCAAAATCTTCAGCGGTTGTATCTGGGAATGAACCGTATTCAAGTAAGTTACCTTCAAAATTTCCACTGTGTTTATGGTGGTGTCGAGCATACATTGTCAAACAAATAAGCCTTTCTTGATGTCTCTCCTTCAAGTTGAGGCTTCTCAGAGCGTAATTTTGCCCTCGTTAGGTCCAGGCTTTATGTTTGTCTCTGCAAACCTTGATCTTATTTCCTTTTTTTTAAAATTTTCTACCCTAGGACATAGCTGAGCTGGAAAGGCTGGAATGTTTGAGGCACCTTGTTGAACTGTCTGTTATTAATAATGCGGTGAGTTTAAAAAAAATTGTGTTTATTAGTTTTTCCACCATCAAAATCCCCACTCTTGCAACACAAGAAACTCCCAGGCCTTCCGTCCACCCTGTTGTCGAACAATCACCAAGAAATTCTCAGTTCTTTCTTAAGGACCCAAGTTTTGTAATTCACTTGACAACGAAGTCATCAATAAATACTTAAGTAAGTAAATATGGAAACCGATCGTAAATCTTTTCGACCTTTGACTTAACGCCATCTTTTTCTTCACTTGATGTAAACAGCTATTAGGAGGCCCAATCACCTCCTATAGCTTCTGTTAGGTCTCCTCGTCACCTCTTTTTTCTATTTATCTTGTGTTTTTTGTAATTTACATTAATGTGTGGATAATAAATGAATAAATAAATACTAGCCTGCGTGCCAGGCGTTAAATGGGAAAGAGGAAGGGGGAATTGAGGCACGTGAGAGAACGAAGGGAGAGCGAGGAGCGTGCGAGGAGGCGGGAAGGAAACCGTCGCCCTCTCGCGTGCCCGAATTCCTCCTTCCTCTTCTCCTTTTAACGCCTGTCACGCAGGGTAAATCCCTACTTAAGGATCGTACCCATGGACTGACAGGTGAATTGCAAATAGCAGAGTAGAATTCGTATAATTTCAACCATAAGAGTATAAGTGCATACCAGTTGTAAATGAATAACTGCAAGGGACCGCAAGTGAATATGCTGCAGAAGTAAGATGTAAAGAAGAGCTGATCAGCAAAAATATACAAGCTTTGCAGATTTCAATGCGTCTATCAGTTTTAGTTTTGAGAGCGTTAAGTTGTTGCGAAAATGTTAAGAAAGAAACTGTTTTTCTTTGTTCGATTTTTGGAAGCTCAAGTTATACGGAGACCCAAGTTATCAAAGGTTCGAGTCGAAGTCACGGTGGTCAACGGTTCAGTTTGTTGTGGGACTGAGTTATACATGTGTGAGACAAACGTATCGGCAATTGACATACGTAAACCAATCTACGGTCTGGCCAGTACATACATACATACATGTGTGTAAGTTATCGTAATAGCGGTCATTCAACTTCTTATTTCAGCTGTAAAAGTAAGTTATTTCGTGACATCAGCTTGTTAGCTTGTTACTGTGCCTCCTTAGACAACATCTTGTTCTGTTCCTGTTTAGTTACATTTCCCATATATTCCTTAGGTTACCCGTCGTCTTCTTCACCGGCCGCTACTAGTATACCGCATGCCCAATCTTCTGTGCATTGATGGGATTCCTGTGTCAGGTGACGAGAAAGCCAAAGCTGAAATGTACTTCATCGAGCAGCAGGTTAATAACAATAGTAGGAAGTTTATTGTACATTCCCCCTGCGGGGCTTTTCAGTGATACAAGACAAAGCTGTATATAATTCATTATCAAGTATATATAAAAATAACCCTTAAAAAGGAAAAAATAATAAATTACCTAAGTTCCCGTCTAAAATTCTTATGATACAATAAAAGGTTAAAACCTTACGAAACGCTCGCGGGATCAAGAAATTTATGTAACAATATTTGCCTCATTTTCTGTTTAAAATCCCTATAATTCGTACTTAATTTGAGGTCTTTATCTAGGCTCTTCCGCTAACAGGTTACAATTCCTGTTTAATATTTGTTTGCCCCACTCATCGATCAAACCTACTCTTTCATCATACCTTCCTTTTTTACAATCTATTCTCCTCTCGCCGAGATTTCTCCCCTTCTGATTTCCCTGCCCTTACTAATGCTGACATGTGACCTCTCACGTGACTTTCCTTGGCAGGGTGGAATGCAAAATGTGACGTCTGCTTTAGAACCCAGTCTCCCAGGAATCGTGACGACGCGGTCCCAGGCCCCCCTTCGGGTAGGTTGCTTAGAATGTTTCTATTGAAGACTGTCCAGCGTTTTCACTCAGTCATAATTAAATGAATTAGGGTGTACATAGGTGCAGAAAATGAGAAACCCTTTAGAGTGTTGAGTGGTAGGGTTGTCGAGTTTTCGTGGCACCACGAAACGCTGTCCAGTATAATGTGAACATAGCGTTAATCCGTCAAGCTAAACGCTTGAACGACGAAAATGGCCACGCGCGCAGTTGAAGGTGCGAAATGGGAGAGGCACCCTCGCCTCTTGCGTGACGCGCGTGAAACTTAACTAACCGGCTTTTTTGAAAGAATAATAAGAGAATGCTGCCAGTCTACAGCGCTCAGCAAGATGAGAACCAGCACGGTAGTGCCAAAGATATTTTGAGACTCACTGTCACAACTACAAATCTTACACGGACCATCTCTAACTACTTGTCCTTAGAAATTGTTCTTCGCATCTTTATTCCTTATTTTATGCGTTCATTCGCTTTCTTGTATCTCAGGTCACCACAGTTCAACTGAATAACAACACGGACCGCAACTGGGGAACCACTGCACTAAAAAATGATTTTCCTAATGGCACCTTACTAAGGACCTTTGAACAACAGCAAGAGAAAGGTAAAACGAGGATAAACACCAGCATTTTTGCGCAGAAATCGGTCACTGTTCTAGATTACGTTGTGTTGTAAGCGGCCCTGTCAAGGGTGTTAGGGGGAATCCGTGAAGGATAGCAGAAAAATCCAGCAAGGAAGCTCAGGTCCGTCGGTCAGTGCAAAAGAGCGAAAAACGAAAACAAGCGGTGAAGAAGTGAGCGAGCGAAAAACGGCGGAAGAGAGAAGGGAAGAGAAAGGATCTGTTCAAGTACATTCAGTTGATCAATTTAGGTTTTGGGAAACTACCCACCTACCCCTCCCCTAACCCAACATTATCACTTACCTCTCACTTAGGGCAAAATTTTGGGTTAGGGGAGGGGTGGGTGGTCAGTTTCCCAGAAACGTAAATTGATCCCATTCAATCAGTCTACTACTCCGACTACTTCGTGAAAAACCGTTTCTCGAGTCAAAATGTCAAATGTCAAAACGTCAAAAGGTGCGGTGTAGGGGGCTTTCACCTGCTCGACGTGTTTGTTAGGGCCTGTTTACATGGAGGTGGGGGACCCCAGGTAGGTTAATTTGATCACGTTTACATGTTAGGTGGGGTGACCCGCCTAGGCGAGTAGCCCGGTTTGCCAGACCGTGTAACCCTCTCAGCCGGGATCAAATTTTGCCATGTAAACGTTTCGAGGTGGGGTAGCCAGCCCAGCCGGGGTCGCATTCGGGATACATCAAATTCGCGCAAAATTCATTTTGGCGGTGGCTTGGCTTGGTTTGCCAGCATTTTTCTTGTTTAGGTGCTCTGCGTTCATTCAATAATCTTAAGAAAGTGCTCCCCGGGATGGCGGGGTTGTAAGATTACATGTAAACATAGTTAATTGAGTGGAATGGTTATGAAACCTGTCAGACTCCTTTGTTATATGTTTTTGTGAACATAAACTGCAGCACTGTTGTTTTTATCATTGATGTTTGCCGCTTTTCATAACCAGTCTCCTCTAATAACTATGATGTAAAGGAGGGTTATTTTTTTATCCCACCTAAGCGGGTTACCTCACCTATCTGGGGTCCCCCACTTCCCTGTAAACAGGCCCTTAGACACTGAGCTAGCGAAGCAAAATGATTGACAAAAGTGTTGAAGTAAACTGTCGAAATTGGCTAATCTTAGGGTATACCAGGAGCTGGTATACCAGAATGAGCCATTGAAAACAATGCTTACAGGCTCGAATACATTGTCTCTCCCTAGCCCTCATGCAGTGTTCGCGCAACTTTCTTGGAATCTTGGAGTCTGGAACCGGCGAGGAAGCACTAAAATTCACTCCCCAGGCACAGTATCCGAATGCGCTTATCTGTATTGCCCGGTAGTATTTTGGAAGCCATGGACAGCTGTTTTGCCTTCACTTAGGCTCACCAGTGTGGTATTTCCTCCAGGTACCCTTTACTGTCCTTTACAAGGGAATGCCTAACCCTAACCCTTGGACCCTCATATCCACATATCACATGTCTCAGTAGCCTCCACCCCCTCCCCCCCACCCCTCTCTCTCTCAGTAAGCTGATTTGGCATTAGAACAGGAACGTCATTTGACGACAGGAAAGAGCGCGGAAAGAACTAAACTAGACTTCCGGTGCCCAATTTGGCGCTCAGCCATTGATCAAGCCAGTTGTTTGATTTGCGCGCGCCGTCATCAACTGACGTTCCCGTTGTGTTAGTAAATCAGCCTAGTATGAGGGTGAAGACGGACCTTTTGTGGCGTAGAGTGAGGTGTCCTAGCTCAGTTAATACAGTTCATAATCTCGGATCCTTTTTTTAAATACAAATGCTCTTTATTCGTCATCGATTTCCACAGCCCGCCGTCGCGTCGCGAACACGCGCGGAGCCTCGAGCCACTCGCTACAAACCCTGTCTACTTCTGACTCCACGCACAGTCTCTCAAATGACAGATACGGGCGCACTTCCGGTAGCCTCAACCCGCAGCAGTCACTCAGCAGGCAGCCCCAGGCCTCCTCGTCTGTTCCGTACATAGCTCACGGAAATTACTCGTCTTACGGCGTGAATGGCGACATCCCAGATTCAAACAGGTAAAATTTCAAGCTTGGGTCTGATTAGTTCGCAAACGTTTTGGGAGACTTAAAATATTGGCAGTAACCGTAAATGCAACATTTTCCTCGCGGTTTAAGATGTTTTAGGGTCTAAATTGCGGTGTTTGCAAGATGGGCTCTTGAGAATTGTAACGACCTTACGAAGTTGCTCCCCCGGGAAGGGGGTACTCAACAAAGATTTGTACGGGGAGGCCTCGCCCCAAGGTCCAACCCATCACCCTTTTCTATGCCACCTTTGACAGAAAAGGTACCCATTTCCTATACCTTTTATTGACAAAAAGTACGCCTTTCACATTCCTGGTTTAGAACTTTTCTTCCCTTTTAACTGCTGTAAATGCGCTGTCTTTAAAATATCAATTAATCACAAAACTAGAACGTTTCCCCGCCTTTTTCACTGCCATAAAATGTCATCTCTTAGCCCTGTAAGGCCTTTTTACAGGTTGAAATGACAGATTTCCCTTCCCTTTCATACAATTCAACAGGCGAAATCCCTCGTCCCCTTTCATATACCTGAAGGCTTAAAAAGGTACCCTTTCGGGCAGAGCCTTCCCGTATAGGCCATTATAGGGAGTACCCCCGGGGTTTGCATTAAAGGTGGACTCTCCATGATGTCTCCGATTGCGACCCAAACATATGTCTGTCTTTGATATCATTAAATTTTGTTGCCATATTTTGGCTTCCCAAATGAATAGGAATCCGATTGTCTCTTTTTTGCTATTTTAAATACAATGCACGGTAGAAGATCTTGAGTTTGCCCACAACCTTGCTTCGGTGTCTCTAACACGGTTTACTGTTTTTGCATTGCTTCATTTTGTCACGTGGGGAATAGTCCCTTTGCAGGTAGTAATTCACGTGGTACAACACCGCCAAGCAAGAGACGCACTGGGAGAAGACAAACAAAAGGCTCATATATCATTTAAAATTATAATTCCCTTTTGTTTATTTTCATTCTTGTGTCAGTACGCCTCCAGTATGGTGGTTTTCTACCACGTGAATGAATTGCTGCCAAGCACTGGCAAAGGACCTATTTTATAGGCGTAAAAGGCTCGTACTAGATGAGGGTAAACTCAGTCCAAAAAGGCCACTTCCAAGTTCAAAATCTCTTACTTTAAAAACGAGGATAAGGGCAAAACCGTTCTTTTGAAAATGAGTTTTATTTAGATGATAGTAAAAAATTCATTTTCATACCAATGGCCTCGCACTTAGCCTCGTTTTGAAACAGAGGCTTGGGGCAACTCGGCCAATTCTTAACCTGTTATTAACATGGTTTTTTCCTTTTTTTTCGTTTGGCAGGGGCAAAAATAGTCGATACAAATAGTCAGGGATTTATTATCTCTGTGTGCAGCCTTGAACCAAAGCCCAGCCTAGAGCCAAAAGTAATGCAAGAAACATCACCCGAAGGAAAAAGGACGTGGCCTTCTGCAGGATACATCGTTACGGTAACGTTTCGGAAACCATCACCATCAGCATTTACCCCACATCAAACAATGGATGAAAGTAAAAGTCAGGAACACAGGGCGAAAACAGCCTGTTGGTAAACTCTCGGGAAGCAATGGAAGGGGGAAGGGGTAAGGGAAAAAATCTTGTTCCTCTTCCTCTCCCCCTACTATTGGCTTTTTCGCCTTATAAGGGAAGATATAGAGACTGATACGTTTCTATTAATGGACTTCTCTATAACAATGTCACCTGCTGTTGTTTCTTGCCGTTATCTCTAATAGCGATGGACATGAAGAGACAGAATTCCCAAAAGAGACACGCCGCTCCTTGGCGCACTTTCCACGTATGTATGTGCTGTGGTGCATTTTGGTACGGCTTAAGTCGAATTCGTCTGCTGCCACCGTTAAAATGAAACTTCCTCAGCAGGACTTTGTCTCTGTATTTTACAGTCGACTAAGCGTGCGGCCTTTTTCCAGGCTAATTCTGTGTGGCTAACAATTTGCAGCCGCGGATTGGGGAAATGCACCTGCGCGCCTCTCTCGAAGACTGGACCCAGAAAGAACGACGGAAATCAATCCTGTTACTCTGCGACTTAGCGAGTTGTCTAGCCAGTTTCAACAACTTACAGTGTGCTGCCACAGTCGTCAGCGGCTTAACTGCAGAAGACTTACCCGCATAGCCTCTCAGCCACCTAGCCACGTATATGCCTCGTTCTGAGTATCAACGTACCCACGTTTTTTTTTTTTTTTTTTTTTTTTTTTTCCAGCTTTTGAGTAGTCGGCTGTTCTACAGCAACTCCTCATTCGCAAACTACTTCAGTGTTGACTACCATGTAGCCAAAGTAATATAACCTTTATGGTAAGTAACCTAGAGGGGTGTATATACGTACAGATAAGTAGCTAGTAAACATTTATCTCATTATACTGCACGCGCTTACTTCTCACTTCTGTTACGCTTGCATTGCAGGCGTTTTCTTAGGATGCGCGAATGTAATTTGCTGTTGAATAGGACATTACCGAGTTCCAAAAAATCTTACTTTCAAAACGAGGCTACGTGCAAAACCTTTCTTGTGAGATTTTTTTGCATGAGAATGAAAAATCTTTTTCATATCAATGGCTTCGCACGTAGCCTCGCTTTGAAACAGAGACTTGGGGTAACCGGAAATGGTCTATTCTGAAAACTCGAGGATTTGTGTTTCTTTTCTTTTCTTTTTTTTTTTTTTTTTGTTTTTTTTTTTTCACCCTTAACGCCTATCCCAGGGGTAAAGGGCGACTATCCCTACTCTCAGTTACGGCATAACTGCACTAGCCATTATTTGCAAGAATGGCTCTGTGCCTCTTGAAAGAACACCGCTGACCGCGCTGGCAGCTTAACTTCCTCACTTTCTCGTACCGCCATTGACCCTCGTTACCTTATATACACCTTCGTTCTCCTTCATACTCCTTGATTCGCCTTTATTCTACTTTTAATTATTTTCCTTCGTTCCCCTTCTTCTACTTCATTTACCCCTATCAGTTTTCATTCACCTTGTGCGCTTTTCATTCAACAAAAATCCCCGTTTGAAACTTCGGAAATTCTACGTGCCAAATGGAACGGTACATTCCGGTTACACAGACCCGACCCAAGCCGCCGCGCGTTTCCTTATTGTTCTTGCAAGCAGGAAACAAAGGAGCCGTACTGAGGACAACAATTTGTCAAATGGAAAGGGACATTTCAGTCCAACCGACAGAAATGACCGGACCTTTCAAAGTAGACCGACCACCTTCAAAGATGTCCCGAATATTTTGGTAGGACCGAACCGAAATGGTCCGTTTGATTTCCAACCGAAATTTTCCGGAATTTTGTGCTGAATTGAAAGCGCCCCTTATCTACCCCCATTAGCTAGCCTTCATCCACTTTCACCCTTCATGTACCTCCATTTAGCCTTCATTTACTTTCATCCGTCTTCTTCTGCCTCCGTTAGCCTTGATTTACCTGCGTCCCCCTTAATTCTCTCCCATTAGCATTCATTTATCCTCTTCCCCCTTCGTCTACCTCCATTAGCCCTTTTTCACCTTCGTCCCAGCCTTGTGTTCAATCCTTCATTCACCTTCATCCCTGGAAGTGGATTGGTTAGCGTCCAGATTCAAAACAGCCCGGAGTCATTCCTGCATTTATGCCATTACAAGCACTTCTCGCTTGCCCAAAAATACACGTACTTGCTCACTGTCTGTAAATAAGAGCACAATGGTTCTCTATATGTATAAAATAACTTATTGTAAGTTTTACATGTGTAAATACAAGTGCTTTTAAGTTGAGATTGACTGTCTTTTGTTTTGTAACACGTGCATGGGGAAGGCGATTGGTCGCGTAGCGAACGCTAAAGAATATTGCAATTTTAGAAGCAGAAAAAAAGCATTCGAGGTGACTGTTTAGCAAAACGAAGATAGCAAACCGTAACGGCAATTGGCACCTGTACACCAACCCACAGCCTGGGAAGTACTCATGCGCACAGCCATATCACCCGGGCAGTCATGGACAGCTGTCTCGACCCAGCGACCCTAAGAGGGCTCATCAGCATGGTATAGCCGTCTACCCTATGAACCCATAGGCCGCGGAATCCCCCTCCCCCCCCCCCACTTTGTTTGACCGTTGGCTCCCCTTTTAGTTCGATGTGTCATGTGTCTACCGTTAACGCCCAACTGCGTTTTCGTATAATGGGTCACTTTTCCAAAATCTCCATCTTAATTCGATTTTGAACAATGGAAAAAAAATTTCAGTGAAGAAGAGAGGTCGTCATCTACGGTAGGTCTATTTGAAGTTATCTGTTTTTGTTTTATTAAGCTGTGTATTGTCTAAATGCAACGAGGCTAAAAACATCTTCACTCATTCTTGAAAATGTTTCCAGCTCGCGTTCCTGCTCACCTAAAAAGCGACGTTTAGTGCGCAATCGTAGCAGGTCAGTACAAAGGTACCGTTCTTTTAATCAGCATTTGAAAGGTTTTATACTCGATGATGTTTAAACAATCAATTTCTTACCGTCCGTCTTTATTATGATTTTGTCCAGATCGCGATCACCGAAAAGGCGTCATCAAGATTAGACTGCGAGTTGTCTCTTATTTTTCTTTTAAGACGTATGGTAGGGGCAAACGCCCAATTAGACTGCAAAACAGTCCGTCTTTTTGCTTATTCAAGTACGTACGCGCAAGCAGTAAAAAGAGGCTGAAAACGGAGAGCGAGACTGGGGAGAGGCGCTGAAAATTTTTCCTCTCGCCTCACACGCCCTATGCTTCATAAGTGTATGTGATGCTTAATTTGTCTTGTTTCTCCTGTGTTGGTGAAAGTGTATAATGTTTTCCATGGTTAATGTATGGGCTGGTGAGGCAGCCATGTCTGGAATTGCAACGGAATGTGCCAACAGGGGGCTTGGGTGTGTTGTCATTGTTTGCGAGTTTCACACGAACAAGTAGGTCACGAAGTTTGGTGCCGGAACGGCGGAAAGTGACGACAGGTACTTCTTTAAAGATGTTTCTTAAGTGTTCGGTGGATTGCTGAATGGGTTGTTTC